CTAGTCAGAGGGTGTTGTGATACTGCGGGGAGCCGTAGTACTCACTAGTCAGAGGGTGCTGTGATACTACGGAGAGCCGTAGTACTCACTAGTCAGAGGGTGTTGTGATACTGCGGGGAGCCGTAGTACTCACTAGTCAGAGGGTGTTGTGATACCGCGGGGAGCCGTAGTGCTCACTAGATGGCAAGAGAGTGTGATGATCGAATGTTCTCCGATCAGTGTATGATGTGGAAGAGTTTTGGGCTTGAGTAGCCCTAGTATTGAGTTATTTGGAGCCTGGATGTTGGACCGGGGGCGAAACTGGGGTCCCCGTCTATGTCAGGGAATGTGGTGAGATGCGCAAGGGATATGCGCAGCAGAAACTAGAGATCATAGTGGAGACGATCCTCGGTTGGCTTGTACTTTCTTGCATAAGGAAAAGAGAATTTCGTGACTTGCGTATCACGGGGCCGGGATAGTGGTCACGGGGAGTAAGTTAGTGGGATATTTGGATCATGATTTGGGTGACCTTTAGAGGCTCAGCTGTGGAGTCAAAAGCTGACCTGGTGACCAGCCTCGAAGAGGGATATGAGATGAGCTAGAGCCTATCATGATGATGTCTGAGGACACCTCGGAGGGAGTGAACGATTCAGACGCTCAAAGACATGCTTCGGGCATGTGTATTAGATTTCGGAGGGTGTTGCGGCATGTATTTATCCTTGGTTGAGTTATCCTATTTCAACAGCCATCATTAGTGCATTTGTATGCCACCCTTTATGCTGTTGTATGGGAGGAAGTGTCGGACCCTCATTTGCTGAGGAAAGTGTCGATTCGCGGAAGTGGAAGTTGTAGTGAGAATGGATGATTTAGATTATGATGGTCGAACATTGTGTTTGTGACAGTGGTATGGAATGACATCATGATGGGATGTCTGCTGAGGATGCGGAAGGGATTCCGCGGGTGTAGAGCCAAGAGTCTCAGGATGGATGTAGGGATGGAGTCTGGGACTCCCAGCTTGATTCTGATCAAGGGCCGTGTGCGTAGTGGTGGTGTCTCCTGGGGATGTTAGAGATGTCATCAGTGCGACGGGTTCTCCTAACCCGAGAGTGCGAAGGTTGGTGCGGCTTGGGTGCTTGATTGCGAGAAGAGGACTCATGAGAGTTGCTCTGGGATTGAAGAGTGGGCCTTTCGGTCATCACATATTGGATAGGATGGGATTCGGATCGGGGATCCGATGGTTCATGGCTTCTAACCCTTATGGGTCAAGTGATTGTTGAGATTTGGGTCAGTGATGCTTCATGGGTAATTCTCGGATCGTTGATTGTGGTTATCAGAGGGTACATTCGGTGCCCGGTTAGAGACAGTGGTCAGGACACTGTAAGGAAAGGGAAAGCGTGTTCGAGTTTCGATGGGTATGCCTTGTGAGATCTGGTCCGATTAAGGCCAGGTGGCACGTTGTGGGAGTATTTCTGGAGTTGAGTTGCTGAAGGCTTCGAGGGCGAAGCCTAATTTAAGTGGGGGAGAATTGTAACATCCCGAAATATCAAGAGTAGAGTTGAAGGGCTAAAAGAGTAAATTGGGAAAGAGTGACTCGGCGAGTCCATGTGCGGACTCGGCGAGTAGAGTCGCGACTTGGTCGCGTGTTAAGTGGCCGACTCGGCGAGTCAGTGTAATGGACTCGGCGAGTAGGCGCTGAGTGGAGAAAACCCTAATTCTCGGGGTTGAGCCTTATATAAAGATCATTATGTTTCCCTCCCAGCCTCTTTATCACCCCTTGAGCCCCAGAAAACCCTAAATCACTAACAAGCACCATTGTTGGATGGATTGGAGCTTGGAGAATGTATTTGTGAAGGAATTTTGGGAGATTGAAGGCTTGGAGCAAGGGGCTTTGTTTGAATTCGAGTCTCATTTCAATTGGGGCATTCCTTTGAGGTAATATCTCGTTTTTTTGACCTGCTATTTCTTAGATGCATCATTTTGGGGATGTTGGAGATCATATCTTTGGATGTATTGGAGTTTAGAGGTTAGATCTGAGGTTGCTACCTCAGATCTGGAAGGGAGAAGGTCTAGAGTGCATGAAAATCCCTGTTTGTGAGTGGTTGATGGAGCCATCTTGTCCTAAATCCTAGCCCAATGTGCAAACGGCTTAGATCTCTTTGGATTCACGTAAAGTTTGCCACTTTACGTGATGGATGGGTTGTAGGAGGCTAGATCTATGTTTTGGATCAATTGCATGGCCTGGAGTGCTTCTGAATGGATTCAGAACGGTGGTACTCGGCGAGTCACATGGGTCGACTCGACGAGTTGCTTGAAGATGGCCTGGAACTCGACGAGTTGGAAGAACAACTCGGCGAGTAGGTTGAAGATAGCCTTGGACTCGACGAGTCCATTTGGACTCGCGAGTCTTGTCGAAGAGTCCCAAATATTCTCTGGTGAGTCGAGAATCGGTGAGTCGAGGGATGACTCGGTGAGTCGTGTGCGAGTGGACTCAGAGTTGTTGGACTCGGCGAGTCTCGGGGTGACTCGGCGAGTTAGGTCGCAGATTGAGTGAAGTTCTGATTATGGGAACTCGACGAGTCACAGGGTTGACTCGGCGAGTAGGGTCAGTCAGGGGTTGACTTAGACTGAGGACTTTGATTTCGACCAAGGGTTGGCCGTTGACTTTTAGGGTTTGGTCAGCGATGTGGCCTTTGGGCCAAGAGAGAGGTAAAATAGTCTTTTACCCATAAGAGGGTGTTATGAGAGGATTTATTCTAGTCTCGAGAGTTATATTCATGAGATATTTGCCTTACGTGTTAGGCGGTGGCGAGTTCGAGATTCAAGTGTGGGGATATCTGCTTTCTGCTTTGCCAGGTGAGTCTTCTCACTATACTTTACCTTGAGTAGGTAACCAGAGTTATGTGATCAGAGTATTTGTATGCTATATGTACGTGATGTGTTGTACTACATTATTTCTATGTGATTTATGCTGTGCATGTTTATAGAGTTGGAACCGGAAGGTTCCCAGAGTTAGAACCTGAGGGTTCACAGAGTTTGGGTGCACGGACCCATAGAGTTATAGCCTCGAGTGGCTAATATGTGTTATGTGTGGTATTTTGGGGAACTCACTAAGCTTCGTGCTTACAGTGTTTTGTGTGATGTTTTTCAGGTTTCTTTCAGTATCACGGGACGGCACCGGCTTGATTGTACACACCAGAGAAAGAGTCATATTTTGGAGGATCCTGGTTTTCTATGCAAGTGAAAATGGAGTCATGTTTTGTAAATCGACTATGAATGAGATTTTAAACAAGTATTTCTAAAAATAAAATGATTATTTTAAATGAAAATTTTGTCTTGAAATTTACGGTGTTACAAATATACTAGTTAGCATGACATAACTTTTGATGGAGCTTGAATTCTTGGTGTATTTGGCCTTAAAGAGCTTAGCCCCAATAGTGTGGAAGCCTCAAATGGAATCACAACACACCATGGACAAAGGATGAACTTGAGAGAGAATTCCATGCACACAAAAGACACCATGAATTCTAAAAAGATACAAGTGGTGATTTTGGGCAATGAAGTATTTATTTATATGTGGAATTTCTAGGGTCATGGATATAACCCAAATCCATACCCACAGGTTTTATGATCCATGGTCCATGTGGCCCAACGCTTTATGTATCCATACATAAACTTGGTCCAACATGGATCATAAGCCCACACATATAAATATAACTAATTACCATAATTAGTCCCCATAGATTTAATTAGTCTCTTTTGACCATAAAATTAATTCTTGATCAATACTAATTAAAACATATGATTTCATATTAATATATTATAACTTATATTATATTAATAAACCATAAATAAGCTTCTCTCAAAAGTCCATCCTAACAGATTGTCCTGATGATATGCAACCCAAATGGACCATGCTACTCTCGGGTCGAATACATACCAATAACAGTTATGGGCTTAGACACCTAATCCAACACTATATATAGAGCACATTTATCTCTTAGTTAATATACATCTCTCTGAATCACCTTCAATACTCTCAATTACGCATCTATTCTTACTCTTCTTACTCTCAAAGTTCTCTAGAACATAACTGATTATTACTTCTCTTCAGAGCAAGTCACTCCTAATTTTATCACTAAGCTTGATCTCACTCACTAACTTGTTTTGAATTCATTCCATGTTATGAATCAACTTATGTGTATACTTGATATATCACCTGCTGTCATTTATATTTCTTTACATTTCCGCAACTAACTTTCTAACTATCTAACAGTAACTTAATATTATTGTTGAGCTTTATGATCCTTTGAGATAAACTATTCCGCAACTATACTTGTTCTAACGTTTGTTCAAGTGTGTCTCAAGTTTTTTTCTTCCAACAATTCTATCCTTTACCACAATGATCATTTGACCTAACTTCTTCAAGATCCAGAACACTTCGTTTGTCGTTTTCCCCAAAACAAACTTTATATCTTTGCTAGTTACCTTTGTTAATAGGAGGCTATATAAAAGCATGTAAGAATTGATGAGGTATACTATATAAATTGCCATCATATAAATAGTCGACGAAGTAATTATGTATGAACTTTAATGTTTTTGTTAGTGTCAAATTTGTTGTAATGTGTCGAAGTATATCTTAGCAGTTTCGAATAATATGTTATCTATTTTACTAAGGCATTTTATGTTTCGAAGTTTAGATGCTTAGTCCTTAGTATTTTTGGTATGCTTTACTTTTCTCTTATAAATAGGAGTTGTTACTTAGAGAATAGGAGTTGTTACTTAGAGATAGATAAGAACTTAAAGTCCATTTTTTCTATTTTCTCTTTGTAACTATGAAGCATAATATGAGCTGAAACAAGATCTTATTTACTCTTTGTGTTCTTAATTCTCGTTACACTGATTTTGTTTTCATTTCTTGATTCAATACTTCATCGGTTTTGCTTGTAATGATAATCGAATATTGCTTTTATTTCAGTTTCATGTATTGACGTAACTTTTGTATATTTCTTTCAAGATATTCCATTGACATAATCTTTTTTATCTTCAACGCACACCAAACAAATGTATAGTATAAGCCTATAAGGTGATTACCACTTGATAGAAAATATATATCATTAAATATGATTTACATTTTCAAACAAAAACACTTAGATAAGTGCTTACAAGTGTTGCAACTTTATAAGAGAGTGGTAGGAACCTTGATTCCCCATTGAAAGCAGTTCAGAATGTGATCCTTGCTCTACAACTTTCCCATTTCCAATCACAACTATAAAGTCTGATTTCTGTATAGTCGATAGTCTATGAGCAATTACCACACAAGTCCTACCAACCATCATCTTCTCCAATGCTTCTTGTACAAGATTCTCCGACACACTATCAAGTGCACTTGTAGCCTCATCTAGAAGAAGAATAGCTGGATTCTTAAGTATCGCTCTTGCAAGTGCAATTCTTTGCTTCTGTCCTCCTGACAGTTGAACTCCCCTTTCCCCACAATAAGTTTCATATCCATCTTTCATAGAACTGCATTAATGTAAGAAAAAACAATCAATTTAATTTATTGGTTTTTTCTTAATGGAATTTTAAATCTGGAAATTTTTATTTTTTCAATACCTTATGAATTCATGAGCATTTGCAAGCTTTGCTGCTTTCCTTATTTCAGCTTCACTTGCTTCCTCTTTACCATATACAATGTTATATCGAATACTTCCTGCAAAAAGAGTTGGTTCTTGGCTAACTAATGCAATATGTGATCTTAAATCTCTCAAGTTGTAATCTTTAAGGTCTCGTTCGTCTATAAGTATAGATCCTTTCATGGGGTCATAAAATCTTTCAATCATTCCAATAATAGTAGATTTACCAGAACCACTTTGTCCCACAAGTGCGACTGTTTTTCCAACTTCGATTCTTAAAGACAAACCCTGCAAGATCATTTGTTCAGGCCTTGATGGGTAAGAAAAGTATACGTTTTTTAGCTCTATATCACCATTGATTCTCTTAATCGCTAACCCTTCGCTATCATTTGGGTTGATTTCACTTTTTCTATCTAGAATTGATAACACCGATCTAACTGCCCCACCACCTTTTGATAAATCAGAACTCATGCTTCCGGCGTCAGCGATGTTCTTCCCGGTGGTCATCAATATGAAGAAAACTTGAAACATTTCTTTTGCAGTTACCAATCCTTTATTCATTTCTCTTCCTCCCCACCAAAATGCTAAAGAAATCGCCGCTGTTGTCACAAATTGGGAACTGAATAATCCTAGACCCGAAAACCATGATTGTTTAATGTTCTGCTTTCGAGGACCTTTTAGGGTTTCTTCATATAATCTCATGATTCGTCCTTGAGAAGCAAATGCGGTGATTGTTCTGTGATTCACCACTGCTTCACTCGCTAATTGGGTTCCTTCGTTTTGTGCCTTTTTAGCTTTTGCAGATAGGTTTTTCATCAGAACAATCTTGGAATAGAAGCTAGCGATTAACAATGGCTGGACTGCAATCATAACAATTGAAACTCTCCAAGTGATTATCAATGCAAGAAGAAAAGAAAGAAATGCGCTGACAAAAACTTGAAGAAGCAACGACATGCGATCTCCAACGAGAGACTTTATCAAGCTAGCTTCGGTTGCTAGCCTCGCACAAACTGCTGCACTTGTGTTTTCTTCTCGATCAAACCACCCAACTTCGAAAGTAAGTATATTTTCAAGCATTTTCTCTCTTACCCTCTTCGTTAATCGCTCCCCCATAACTGCAAAATTATAATGTTGGAGGAGATTCGTGAAGAAGCAACCAATTCCAAGACATACAAAGATGATACAATAAAATCCTGTTTCTGATTTAACTTTTGCCTTGTCGGGTAAAAAGTATACAGACACAACTGATCCCAAGAAATAAGCATGAATTGGTGATATAGCTCCGAAACCAGAAGCTCCTAAGCATCCAAGCAAGGCATTCTTCCATTCAGGAGCATTCATCTGTAAAAGACGCCATTGTGAAGGACTAGATTCAGGTGTTTCGATTAAGTATTCATCATCGCTTTCTTGATAAGAATACATTTGAACAGAATGTGCCATGCTTAATGTTGGGCTAATGGGGGACATTGGACTGTTTTGAAAGCTTGATCTTCCACTTACAGGAGTCGTGGGTGTTTGGTGTTGGTGGTTTAAGTTTCTTTGTGATATCGGCGTATAAGAAGTATAATCTAGGGTTTCATTTTGTGTTGCTGATTGCTGCAATTGAACCATTTGGTAGTATGCTCCACCTTCTTCTTCATTGTTCTTCTGCATTAACTCATCATGTGAACCCGACTCAATGACTTTACCCGATTGAAGAACCACAATCTTATCTGCTTTACGGATTGTTGTCAATCGATGTGCGATAATAATTGTTGTTCTTCCTATTGAAGCTTGATCTAAAGCTTCCTGAACAACTCTTTCAGATTCTGTATCCAATGCACTTGTTGCTTCATCTAATAGAAGAATTTTCGGTTCTTTCAATAAAGCCCTAGCTATGGCGATTCTTTGCTTTTGCCCACCGGATAATTGAATCCCAAACTGTCCCACTTGCGTTTCATAACCATTAGGTAAGTTTACAATGAAATTATGCGCATTTGCTGCTTTAGCTGCAACTTCAACAACGTCTTTTGAAACCCCTTCTTTCCCAAAAAGTATGTTTTCTTTGATCGATGTTGCAAAGAGTACTGGTTCTTGATTAACCAACCCCATTTGAGATCTTAACCATTTAAGTTGAAGACCCTTGATTCTATGTCCATCAAGAAGAATGTCTCCTTTTATTGGATCATAAAATCTTTCAAGCAAAGAGATAATTGTTGACTTTCCTGAACCACTGCCTCCTACAAGACCTATTGTCTTTCCAGCCTTTACTTTTAGGTTAAGTCCTTGAAGAATTGGAGAATCTGGTCTAGATGGGTATGAGAATTCCACATTCCTAAATTCAATGTGCCCACTTACAAATGGAAATGTTTTTCCTTTATGGTTTTCAGAATCTATTCGAGGAATTCTTGAGATCATTTCAAACATTTTTGTAGTAGCAGTTGTTGCATCTGAAATGAATGGGACATTGGGTAATGCACTCATTGCCGACCTGCAATATGAATATAAAATCATTCAGACTATGTATAATATTTACAAAAAGTTAAATGCAAGAAATAACAATGTACTTCTATTCATTTGTTTATCATAGCATCCTACTTTCATTTCTTCTTATTATGTCATTTTACTTTGAAATTAACTAAATATAGCAATTTTATCCTAAATGGTATAAGAACTAACTTTAATACTTTTAAATTTATGGTATTAAAGTGTACTATGAATTTAATCTACAAGAAAAAGTTTATGGTATTCATGTTTATGGTTGTGATTATTTTCTAATAAAGAAACTTACAGTCCCGCCATGATAACACAAATTGCTGTAACAAACACACGTCCACCACTTTCTCCTTTCTCAGTAACAAGATAACTTCCAACCCAAGCAACAAACGCCCAAGCAACAAAAATCATACCCATGCTTCCAATCATCAAACCCTTTGTAAATCCTTGTTTTATCCCTAATTCCATACTTGTTTGAAGCGCATTGCTAAATTTATCAATCGTTTGTTGTTCCCCTACATAAGAATAAATAGTTCGAATTGATGATATTGCTTGTTCTGCAACCCCACCGCCTGTATTATATGCACCTTGCATCTTCATCCCTAGTTTTTTTAGTAACACCCCAATGCCTAAAACAGGAACAACAAAGAAAAGCGCGAATGGAAGCGAAGCTATGGCTAGTCGCCATGAAAGTGTGAAGGCAACCACGATACTAAAGAAGAGTGCCGATAAGTGAGCTAGACAGTTGGGTATCTGCAGGACGTTTTGGGTGATGATTATGAGTATTTTAATAAAGTAGGAAGATTCAAAATTATATAAATAGGGTGTTGTTTTATATGATGGAATTTGGGAAAAATATATTGGTTTATTGCACTGGAATAAGAAAACTTTTTGTTTTGTATGATGAAATGGAATTGATTGTGCCTAAAGGAATATGATTCATGTCATTTTGTTAATTTTCATTTCTTAGCATGTGGTGTTTTTTTTCTTGTAGTAGAATGAAATGGACTGAAAACTTGTAACATAACTCATTTTTATATATGTATTTTTCCATGAGACGAATCTTGTATATCATATTAATATATAATATGAAGTATTGATATGAAAATGCAATTCATTCAAAGCATAACCCACTATATTTCGTGGAGTATTGACTCATTCCATTTCATTGTTAGCATTTCATCCAACCAAACCAAACTCATCTGAGATGTTTGTTTGGTTGGATCGAATCAAGGGATGACGGAATGAATCATAACATTCATTATCGTGTTTGATTGGTTTCTTGAAATGAAATGAATTTTCATATGTTTATATATTATGTGTTAATACAATATATAATTTCAACTTAGTTTTGTAAAGTATTAGAGTTATAATTAATAATTTTTTCTTTATGAAAAATTTTAAATAATAAACACAACAAAAGTTCATTAAACTCAAAATAAGCTAAACAAAAAACAATACTTTTAGTTATTTTAGTTGTAAATTAATTAAAAAAGTAAAAAATTTAAAAAATCTTCTTTTATTTAAAGTTATTTTAAAATGGGTTATATTGCAATTTTATATTTCATTCCTTGGGGACTGCTCTATTCCATTCACATTCTATCATGAATTTTCATTCCTATGGAATAACGAATTCCATTACTTCCTTGATCTCATCATACCAATCCAAAACCACCTAGGAGAAATAACATGAATAGAATTAAAACCTTATTAGCCATGACATCCTGAATCAATTGAGCATCACCAGAAATGGCTGTGATAACTTCAAAGTTGGTGGAAGATCCAACTTGTGTGTCAAAAAAGCTGACTTCTTGCCTCAATACAGATTTCAAATATTCCATCCTCAAACGTGACGTTTGTCTTTCTGCTGTTCTTGTCCAACAAATCCCCTCTACAAAATATTCAGTCTAAATATTTACAAATAATGACAAACCATTGCATATTTTTTTTTGCTCGTTAGATTTTCCGCATATTGTTGACAACCGGTTCAATTTTTTCTTTTTGGTTTCAATAATTAAAAGATTTTGTTATTTCATGAGATACTATTTGACAACTAAACTTACCAACGAAAGCCGATATAGCGATTCCTATTGCAAGAATGAGCAACTTGAGCGCATACTGTAATACACAATAACAATTAAACTGGTTGTTAATAACTAAACAAGCTTACCCTATGGCAATATACAATCAACAATACTCTCATTAACATAGAATCTTTTGATATTCGAATGATTATAACAAATATTCCTCCAACAAGCTTCAACCTTAGGATGGCATGTGTTCAAATAAAAAGAACAAAATATTCATACAATCATACCTTGTCCACCACGTCATTGGAGATAGAAACGCCACCAGTTCCATACTCATCAATCACATCACTAAGGATCACCATAGTAAGAGGAGACATCAATCCATCCCCAATGGAACCTATTGTCCCAAATAACAAAAGAAGCTTATCTATTCCATCTGCATAATAAAACATTCCACCTTTTTTCCCCATTATGGCTACACACACCACCCTTTTCAAGCACCTTTTGAGATTTTGTTATGTTAAGTTCTTGAAAAAACACATATATATCAAAGATGTTCTCTAAGACATGCGAACATAGAGTCTGTCAAATATTGTTGATGCCCTCATTGGTGGCTTATGTTTGTGCCACTTGTTTGTCAGGATCATTAATTGTGAGGCTCTTTTGTTGTTTAGTAAATTGACTTTTGGTGTGATGTACTTATACTTGCTGACAAGAGATATATGATAGGTGTTGGTGTATTTTATAATAATTTTGTTATAATATTGGAAAAAGTACTATTTAGTTTGAAGGGTAAAGTTTAGAGGAAGGCGGCAAGACTTGGCTGACTTGATATAATTTTCCAGGCAAAATGTTTGACCAATTTTCAAAGGCAACATATGCACATAACATGTACAAGTGTCATAGAATTGTGAATGGTAAAGTATACTTAAGGCTGTGCGGTGTGGATGCGGTCTTTACCGCACTTTTTGCCACATAGGCAGAGAAACACCGCTCCCTGACTGCGGTTTGGTGCCGTTTAGACCGCAGTGCGGTACTCTTTTGCTGCACTTTCACTCTCTCTCTCCTCTTCTATTTATTCTCTCTCTTCTCTTTCAACCAATCACATTTTTCTTCTTTTTTTCTTTTTCTCTCTCTTTACCATAATTTCACTCCCTTGGTATGGCATGAAACCGCACTTGTATGGTAAAAAGTGACGTAGCGCTTATGTGGCAGGGGAGGGAGTGCAGTTTCGGTAGCACCACTCACTCCAGCCTAAGGTCATGAAACCAATGATTTTAGTTTACTCAAGAGATAGGTTAGTGCACAATTCCATTTTACGTCGTAGAAAGTTTTTAGAAGGATTCCAACGGAATTGATCTCCATTTATTTGGCAACCAAACATGTAATGGGAATTATGGATTCTAATCCCTTAGGAATATATATATATATATATATATATATATATATATATATATATATATATATATATATATATATATATATATATATATATATATATATATTCTATTAGGTTATATATTGCATGACCATTAGGTATAAATTATAATGCACATGCAACAATACGTTATTGTAGTTAGAAAATATCTTGAAGTCTGCTTACGCATAATTTAAGCTAATTTGACCAAACCTATTAAGAATAGTAATTATTTCCACACAACAATATTGCGATTGTGACATATAGCTACTAGCTCTACTTCAAATATGTTATTTTCCAATAACTTTAACAAACTCGACAAATCTGAACAGAAAAATCACTTTGAATATCAGTCGGCTCTTGTTTTAGGTAACGTTGATGCCTGCAATAATTTGATGCAATATGTCCTCTAATGCCATTGGTATGAATATTCAATGCACAAACTGTTTACTTCTGATTAGTGGGAAGCATATGTCTGATGTGAAATGTTGTTTGACAAATAGTTTTTTTGGGATTTTGCAGGGTGTCAAGTTATTTTGAGCATATTATAATTTTTGTCTTGGCCGGCCAAGATATACATATGACAATTCTTACCCTGTACGCTTTCTAGGTGACACATAAAGATTATTGTCTTGATATATATGCCATTTGTCTAGTTTGGTTTTTTCTTGATTGAGACTCTTTCGAAGTGTTTAAGAACCAAAAGCTATTCAGAGACCGACTTTTGACCAATAAGAAAGTCGGTTTAGATCAATATTGAAACCGAAGTTATATGTGATTAGAAATAAGAAGGTGTTGAGAGATGCTATATAAATTGGAATTTGATAGAATCAAAATGTGTCATGTGTTTGATTGAAGCAAAATAATTGTTGCAATTTTTATGTATTAATAAAAATCTCCTAAAACAACACGATAATCGGTTTTTTAGATCCCGTTTGAACTGATTATACTTGTTCGAATATTTTTGTAATAAAAAGGGATCAAACCCAAACTAGTTTTGGGAAAAAATGTTTTTATATTTATTCTAGAAAACACAATGCAATTTAAAATTGGCTCCAACGACACTACCTTCTCTAATGCTTTCTCCTTCATGATTAGGTTTGCTACACAATTAGCCATGGCGATGACGTTGGGGAAATGAAGAAGCAAATAGGTTTTATTCGTTTGGTAAGAAGAGGGTGGGTTTTGAGCGACCTCACAATTGGTGATGGAGTTCTAGCGATAATGCATAGTTACTTTAATGAAGGTGTGGCAGTGGGGCTATTGGAGATGTACAATAGAACAACCGAAGATGTAGGGCATAAAGATGGAGGTGTTGGTAATTTTCATAACCAAAACATAAAACGTGGAAGCATAACTATAGATCTTTAATCTCGAATCTGTCAAAAGAAAACTTTAAACGTGAAAGAATGATTACATACCTGATTTCATTATGATATTCGGATCTGAAGAACTAGGGTTTGGTTTTCCAGTTGATCTCAAGAACTCTCTCTAAATCCCACAACAAACCCTAAAACAATTTCTTGTATGTATTTTCGTATATTGTAAATCTGCTTCTCATCACGTATTTATATAGATGGAGATATAACCGAATGTGAGAGATATTAGGGATTCAGGAGATCTTGAGTCAAACCGGGAACTCAACCCACAAGATAAACATGGTAAGTGTATATCTTTATTTATTAATAAAATCGGTCCATCAACAATTTTATATAATTTCCATAATAATATATAATTAATGATAACATTATTTATATACATTTATTAGTGGTCCCAAAATATCCAACAATCTCCCACTGGACCACGAATGCATAAATGTATATATAACTGTATAAGCGCTTTAATGAATGTTATCATAGTATTTGTACCCTTAACCAATCTCGTCAACTAATCATACATGTATAGGATCAAAGCGGTCTTCGTTACAATTTACGTAACTAAATCTATCAATGGTCACATATACATATATAACTAACGACATAGATTAAACATGATGTGTGGTTTTAAAATCTTAATAGATTTCCAACGAGTTCCTCTTTAGATTGAAGTGAGATCAAACTTCAAATAAGTGCAACTAATAATAGAGTTAACTGAATTCTTAATTCTGTACAGAAAAACATAACTGTTGTTAAACAAAACATAAAGCACCATAAAACTCCCACTAAAACCAAATATCACACCAATGTGTGTAGTATGCTCATGAAAGACCTAGGGAGGTAATCCCTTTATGAGCGGATCCGCTTTTATGGAGTTTGTTCATATGTGCTATATATATTTCCATTTTGCACTATTGTATTAACAGAAGGAAACTTGATGTCAATATGCTTTGACTTAATAAAACTTCTGTTATTGGAATATAACCTGTCTGACTTATTATCACAACTTTAGTGGTCTTTCAATACCAATAATGTGTAGCCTCATGCCAAATTTCCGCAACCATATTCCATGCTACAAATTATGTTGCCATTATGGAAGAAGCTACCTAAGTCTATTCCATGAAATTGCTCATCATGCTAAAATCTAAAAGTATCATGATGTGGATCAGTAACCATTTTGGCATCTAATAAATCATAGTCTTAATAAAAATGATCTCCAAAACATCTGAATTTCCTATAGTTGAGCATATGGACTTTTGTTATATATAGATATATCAAAATCCATTTGGTTGCTTCCTTATGATCCAAACCTGAGTTGCGTAGATATCTGCCCAAGACCAGAAAGATAAATTTACTCCCACTTAATTTGTGATAGACAAAATCATCTATTGTATTTACCTCAAAACCAAAAGAGATAAAAAAAATATGGTACCATGTATAGGATATCCAAAGTTGAGGTTGTTGAGTTTGTGTATTATGAATAGGAGATTGAATAACATTGTTGATCACTGATTCATAATCTGCATACTACCGAAAGCATTAATAGGAATCAAGATTGATTCATCCTTAAGGCCAATGTTTTAACCTTGTTTCTCCCCCAAACTCAACATCCTCAAAGAATGTTGCTCTATCCAAAATGAATGGTCAATATCCATGCAATTGAGAACTAACATAATGTCCTCATTGCATTCCTTAAAGTTAATCTCATTGAGTAACAATCATAAATGTGATCAATGTTAACAGGTATAATACCATAATTCAAATTTTTGTTTTGAGAATATAGGTAAATCTACTTTTATGCTCATTAATCCATAAACCGTAATCAATAATTTCAATTTATGACATCTTTACAAGGTATCAACACAACATTAATATCAAGTCTTTGGACAGTAATACTAACTTGCAAGAGATATCCTTATTTTAGAGATAAACATTGACAATAAATCATGTCAATTAACAAACCCCTCTTTTGATTGACTTATTAATCATATGAAACCAAAAAAATCGTCACATGTTTATCACCACATATGTGTTTATTCGACCGTTTATTCGACCAAATATTAGTCTACCTTTGGGTCGACTAATACCCGCATTAATAAACACATTAACTATAAAATTTTGATAATAAGAATTGACAATATATCATATCAATTAATAAGCCCCTCTTTGGATTGACTTGTTAATGACATGTAACCTAAAAATTGTTACATATTTAATATCAAACATGTGTTTATCCGACCAAATATTAACCTACCTTTGGGTCGATTAATATCCGCATTAATAAACACAAACCATAAAATTTAAGCTCTCTGTAATTAATTTTCACAAAAGAGATCACTTTGGCGATATATTGTGTCAATTAATTTATTTTGAAAATAAATAAACATGTCATAATTGTAGTTTATTGACAATTAACCTGAAATATATTGAATGTGTCTACCTTTAGGTCGAACACAGTTCAGATAAACAATATCATAAAATCTTTAATGTAATTACAACCAAATTGATTAAAATAATAGAGATTATTTTGGTAAAATTATCGTGATTGTTAATATATTAGGTAGCCCATAACCAAAGCATATAATGCATAAGGATAATTCTACTCCAAGAATACTTTACTATAATAAAAGTCTAAAAGCTTAATTTGTAACCATAATTATGCTATTAACGAAACGGCAAAGCAATAACATATTGCTTGAAACATGGAGCAGAAAAATTAGCATTACTTAATCACCTACAAAATCTCAAAAGCATTGTAAAATGCACAAACTTATAAGAAAATTAATCTAATCCAGAATATGAAGCGGGTGTGATACTAAAACACCCATTATGCTATTTGATTAGTTTTCTAGAACCCAAAATTT